ACGACGAGCTCAACCACCTCTAACATTTAATCAACATCGACAACAAGTAAAACCAAAGAGTGAAGAAAAATTATCAACATTATCCTCCCCGATCGGTTCATCTTCCTCATCATCAGAATCGAATTCCCCAACAGGTGAAAAATTTATGTCAAGATCTGATTTTATTCTTCAACAACAACAACAACAGCAACAACAACAACAACAAAATATATCTCAACAACGTAAAGCTTCTAGTCTAAAAACAATTTCTGCAACATCAAATCAACAACCATCAAAAATTCTCTATCCTATTGATTTCGAAACAAATCATAATGATGAATCTTGGTATCAAAAACATGCATCACCATCAACATCAAATGGACATCAAAATAAAGTTCCAACATCAGATTCTGGTATTGTCATAGATACAACTGTTACACGGCCAACATCAAATTCAAGTATTGAAGGAGTAAGTTTGTCTTCTTCTTCATTCATTAATTGAATCAAAACATATGCCATAAAAAGAGAAAGAAAAACGGAAGTCATACATGTATGTTTTGATCTTCTTCTATGTTCTCTTTTCCGCCATAAGGCTTGTCATATTCTCCCATCATTAATATTAGATTTACTAATTGAACTGGTTCATCTGTCTGTTGGACAACGCAGATGTGATGTCCGATAAGACACAGGAAAGAAGAGAAAATGAGAAATGAGAAATAGAAGTAGAAGTTGCCCTTGATTGCTTGTTTCACACATACATACATACATTCATACACACATACATGCTTTGACCGTTTGTCCTCTATTTCTTTCTTTTTTTTCACATATATATAAACTTGTCCGATGACCGATGAAGTGGATGATTGCTATTTAGAATGATGCTGATGGTATTCCTATTGATATTACGAATAATGGTAAATTAAAACAATACGAAAGTAACTATCGAAAAACATTGGCAGATTTAACTATTATCAAAAAAAATATTGTTGACATTGAAAGTCGTCTTAGTGAAGCTATGCGTGAGGTAAGATAATATAAATAAGTGTCAATCAATTTGTTATATAAATAGCAAAGTTATTTTTTTCTTGATATGTTTTTCTGTTTAATTGGCCCTTCTAGCAACATCATGCCTAATCTATTGCATATGTACAGTTGTTTTCTAAGAAAAGAATAATCTTGTATAATTCATACATATATAAAAAAGGAAAATGAATATTTAGAATTCTTATAAACAATTTCTTTTTTTTTTGCTGGGCTCTTCAAACCCAGCTGTTTCCCCCGACCATTTCTTTTGTTTCATTTACAATTCACCTAAAGACAGAAAAAAAAATTATCATTTTAAAACAAGTTGTCTCTTCATATGTCAGAGAACAAGTAAGCAAAAATGATTACGTATACGTGCATTAGTGATAGATTGGACATTGATATATATATGCAGTAAAGAGAGGAAAAAAATAATGATGAACGGTGCTGTTGTCTGTCTGCTGCTTCCTGTTGTTGTTACATTCGATGATAATATGAATAATGATATCGATGACTGTTGTTATCCATTTATTCTTCCCTTTTTCTTCGATATTCTAATGTAACTACTATCTCTTGATATGTATAAGTGAGACATGTTATCGGTTATGAATAAGAAAGTTTCATTCGTCGATATTTAATCTTATTCATCTACCCCCACCCGATATTGTTCAACCCTCAATTATCTAGACCTACTATATAGAAAAATTTGTGTCGAGATCAGACTGTATGTAGATATATTTGATTACAATGACAATGAAGATGACAACGAGGTTCGAATAATAATTGTATAGAAATTCCGTCTCATTTATTTATACTTCAATCATTAATTATTTCTAAATATAGTTACTTTAAATTGCCATCTAAATTGAACATAGACTCATCAAATATTTGAAATTATTAAATGAAATTCATTTTGATAATTTATTTCGCAGTTGTTCTTTTTTCTCACCATGAAACATGAAATAGGGCAATTACTAGCAAACAATCATTTTCTTTCAAGATCATCAGACATTTACAGGTTTGCTTTATTTCTCCTTACGACTACTACTACTACTACTATTCTGTCTCATCTAATTTATTGATCGCGTGTTGATATGAGAATAAACATCTTATTACCAGATGTGCACTTAAAAAATGTGCATATCAATTTTTTTCTTTCTCATAAAACAAAATGAAAATAATCTTTTGCATACATATATATATCTCTATACACCTGTTAATTTTAGCTTGAAATTGAACGTGCATTGGTTGAAGGAGAACACGAGTTGGTATTTAAACAAATTTTAGATGATAGTGAAATTGATCAAGACAAAATTCGACATTTATATAATGATTTACAATTATTAACTGATCGAATAATGACAGAAAAAACATCTGTAAACTAAGAAAATATTTTTAATCTTTTCAAAACAAAAGATTTTATTATTTTTTTTTTATCTTAGATTCGAAATGAAATTGATTATACTCAACAAATCCTTTTTAAACTTGAATATGAATTACGTGAACTCGAAGAACAATATCGACCGTCGGATGATAAAATTCTCAAGTGAGTAGTGTAATCTTTCTTTTTATATGTTCTCTTTTAATCAATGATTATGTTGTCTAGAAAGAAAGAAATTCTTGCTGAGACACGTAGAAAACATGAAGATCTAGAATTTCAATTAATGGAATTAGAAACACGTTGTGAAACTGAACTTGAACAATCCGAAGAACATTTTCAAAATGAACAAATTCTTGTTGCACAAAATTCCAAAATTCGACAGGTAATACAAAATGATTTCTCTTTTTAATTTTTCTAACAAATAATATTCTTTATAGAATACTTTACGTGATCTTGATCATCAACAAAATATAATATTACATCAAGTTATAATCGAAAAAGAAAAATTGGAACGAGAAAAACAAAAACTTAAATTATTATTTAAACAAAAAAAATTCGAAGCTAATGAATTAGAGCAAAAAATCAATGGATTATCATCAATTTATGAAAAAAATATTTATGAAAATGGACATCATCTGCAAGCAACAAATGGAAAAGGTATTAATCATATTAAAAATCTGTTTTATTTTGAACTAATAATTATTTTAGATGTTTGGTTGAATGGTAATACATCAATGTATCATTCAACTCCATCAAGTATTTACAATGCATTGAATTATGCAGATGATATTTCATTACCAAAGTAAATTTTAATTTATAAATAGAAAAATTTATTTCATATTGAATTTTATAGATTGAATATAAAAGATAATCATCAAGAAAAATTAGATGAAATTAAGGAAATGATTGCGATTGCTAAACTTGAAAAAATGACAATTCTAGAACAACAAGTAAGTAAATCTTAAAGTCTTTTCCGACTGATTCAGTAGTGCTCACCGGTCTAGTTTCGGAATGATATATTGACTATTTAAGATAGTTATCTTACATTTTTTTTTGCAATTGCACAATCTATAAATGTAAACAAACTTTTGATTTTTTGAAAAGAGCCTTTTGTTAAATTTTGTTATCATAATAATTTTAGTTACGTGAACGTTATGATGAACTCGTTCAATGTCATGATGAACATTTAAAACGTGTTGAATTAGAACAAAAATTAGCTAATGAAATTCAAAATCGTGATTATCTTATTGAATGTCAAGTTAAATTACGTGAAAAAAGTCGAATGCAGGTATATCAATGAAATATTTTGTTTCGTTAAAACTAGTTTTTTTGTAAAATAGGAACGTCCATTAACACGTTATTTACCCATACGTTCAATTGATTTTGATCTTCGTGCACATATTGAAGGTGCTGGACATTTATTAGATTCATCACATATACATATAACATCAACATCATGTCGTGGTTTTCTTCTTAAAATGGGTGGAATGAAATTTAAAACATGGAATCGTCGTTGGTTTGTATTTGATCGTAAACGTCGTTCATTATTTTATTATCAAGATAAAACTGAAACAAAATTACGTGGTTGTATTTATTTTCAATCAATTGTTGAAGTTTACGTTGATCATTTACAATCAATATCATTAAGATCACCTGAACCACGTGAAGCAACATTTATTGTTAAAACAATTGAACGTCCTTATTATTTAGTTGCACCGACAGTTGAGTCAATGCGTATATGGGTTGATGTTATTATAACAGGTGCTGAAGGCAATACATTTGCCGGAGAAAGTTAACACAGTGTGAATATATATAAGTCTTCCAATCATTCCGTTTAATTTGTACTATATGTAATGAACAATCTCTTATTTCTTTTCGTTATTGGTTTTTTTTATAATATTGGTGTGTTTTTTTTCTCGCTCGTCTTTATATTTATAAGAAGATACATTCAGCAATATAAGATTATCTTGAAAAAAAAACGAAGGAATAAATCTTTATGTATCTTTTCAAAGACGATTGCGATAAATATTTTGTTTGAAAGGATTTTTTTGTCATTGATCTTTATGATTTGGTGTGGAGAAAAAAAATAATGAAATATATTTCAAATGTCAACTCTATTGTATATTATTGGCTGATGTTGATATTGACAAATTTTGACATTTTATAAAATGAATAAATAGATAAAGTATTTATTATACTGAATGATTGACGATATACAGATGAAATTCTAAACTTGCTTATGAATAGATCTAATGAGAGAACATATAAAGATATGCAGACCATTTAAATTTCAACTTTCGATCATGAATGAACTATAGAAATAAAAAACGATTCATTATTTTAATGATTTTTTTCCTCGAGCAATGATCATTTTTCTAGATATTTAATGTACTGCACGATATTTTGAAAACTATTGAACATATCTATACTTTTAGTCTGACATTTCATTAATGCATACATGTTAATATCAAACTTTCAGCTCAAACTAATTCCAGAGTATCCTACCGATAATCATATTTGCTTCACTAGTAAAATCATGGGACAAGTATTAAGAGAATAAATCATTTCTAGCACTTTCATACATTTTGATGTATATCCTGGATCATAAAGTTCGTTACCTTGTTTTATCAGTTTGATAACATTCATATAATGAACGCATTATTTCGAATTCTTAATTAATTTCTATACTGATAATAACAATCATTGTATTGATTTTCAAGAAAAAGAAAAGTACAGCGATGTTAGTTCACATATTAATATTCGGTAACATTAACTCTCGTGAGTATGATTTTCAAAAGAAAAAAAAAACTTATTAAAAATATCCGGTGTCTCTCCGAATTCTATACGGACCACTTTAATTAATTTATTCAAATGTAATCAACTCATATAGACCTTTTTCCTGTTATCTTAAGTAACAAAAATGTAGGAAAGTCGGTATATACTTATTTGTTCGTACAGTATTCTACAGGTGGAGACATCTGTCCATGTACGACATTGATTTGTTGTATTTCTTTGTATCGTATCGGGGTACATATGAATGAATGAATGAATGATGACAATCATCATTCTAGAACTTGACTCATTCCATGGGATATATGACATATATCTATAAAACGAGTTTATTTAAAAGTACTCGATGGTCCTAAAATATCATCGTCGTCTTATTTCAACATCACTTTTTATTGATGAAATTATGAAATTAATCAAACGATATTTTATTGTTATCACTGTTTTTTTCCTTTTTTATCTCGCAATAATAAATAAAAATCGTCTTTTTCCTCGTCTTGTTTTTGGACAATTTCATCTTATATCAACTGAATCAAATCAAACAGTAAATGTTCGTCAATCACAATTATATGAACATGAAATATTAAATGGAGGTATAATAACACTTTATGATGTAACTCAAGATAATGAATGGGATTTTCAATGTCCAAAAACTCAATATAATGAAGCAGATATTACTGATGTACGAATATGTATTTATGATCCTCAACATGATGAACATGTTAGTGGACAATTGAATGATCATGGAAAATGGGAACCTGTTGTTGTAAGAAGTTTTCTTCGTCTATTAAGAGCATTACCAAATACACGTAAGAAAATAAAAAAATTTCTAAATAAGATTTTTCTAAATAATTTTTGTTCTAGATGTGATTGATATTGGTGCTAATCTAGGCTTATATACATTATTAGCAACTAAATATGATCGTCATGTTATTGCTGTTGAACCTTTATATGATTCACTTATTCGTTTACATAAATCAATTCAAATCAATAATGTTCAACATCAAGTAACACTTATTGCAAATGCTATTGGAGTAAAACATGAACGTTTAGCATTAAATATTGTTGATAAAAATTTAGGCGCTTCGTATTTATCTTATCTCGACGAATTAGCACCATCCGATAAAAAATTAGAAAAACTTGTTGATGAACAACATGGAATTCCACCACGCGTACTTGCAGAAGTTGATACAATAACACTTGATGATTTAGTTTCAATCTATCCAATTTTTTTTAAACGAGCTATTTTAAAAATGGATATTGAAGGTTTTGAAGCATTAGCATTTAGTAATGCATCAGTATTATTTAATCGAACAGAAATACCAGCTATTTATATGGAATTTGGAAAATTAATCGAAATTAAATATCATCGCGGAATGATTAAAAAAATAGAAGAAATGTTAAGTTTTTTAAAAAAACGAAATTATGAACCTTATGAAGTCAATGATATTAATCATATTTTATATGATAATTGGGAATCATGGCCATGGGATGTAGCTTTTCGAAGATGTGATATATGTCGATGTCCAGGATTAGAAAAACTTGTTGGATCTGCTGAATGAATGGTATGTATTAATAATAAGTCATGTTATTCAATTTTTTAAAAGTTGAGACTGACATTACTTTTGTTTTGTATTAACATATCTCATTAAATATTTGTTATGATATGTCTGCAAAATATATAATATAGGCTTTTGTCTTTTAAGAAAAATAATTCTTTTTCTATTTATTTAGTTAATATACAATCTCAATGCATATCTTTTCGTGAATATACCATTCCAATAATTTTCAAATTGTGAAATAAAATTTTCTATGTTTTTTTTTTGTATATAAATATGAAAATTTGTTTTTTCTTTGTTGTAATTTTACTAAATTGATAGATCAGATAAAAGAAGATTTTTGTATCTATACACAGAATGTTTTTTTATAGATAATATATGTCAACATCGGCTATTCCAGTTGAATCACTTCAATTGATTTATGCTGTTCAACATCCATGTCATGTTGTGAATTGTGATCGTGCTATTGAAACACTTGGTGGACGACAACGTCTTGTTGATGTATTTACACATTCAACAACATCACAATTAACATGTTCATTTACACCTTCAAATATTTATGAACGACCACTTCGTGCTGAACGTCAGAAAACTACTGGACTTCTTCTTCGTTTACGTCGAAATAAACATACAAAAACTGTTAAATCTATTCATGTTATTGGCATTCTTGATACATCTTATTCATTTGAATCACTTGCAGATTTTCAATATTTACCAATGATTAAAAAAAATGATCAATATGAATCATTTTTAAATCGTGTTGCATTAAATCGACAATGTTTAGATAAGGAAAATTTAGAACGACCGTGTCCATTAATGTGTATTCCAGCTATATTTTCACGTTTCTTTGATCCAACAGATTATGCATTTCGACCAGAACCAAAAGCGCGACCAAAACGAACAGCAACAACAATTACACGTGCAAAACAAGCTATGAATAGTAATAAATTAACAAAAAGAAATGTTCGTTCATCAGCAGCACATCATATCGGATTCGATGCTACAACAGTACCAACAGGTAAAACCTGAAGTTTTATTTTTTTTATCACAAATCTCAATTATTCTGTAAATAAAAACATGTATATAATTATTGACAAGGTCAATTTAATCGATCAACCTATTCCGTTAGTGATAAATATTTATTAAACGCTCGATTAGATTGTCATAATTAAATATAATAAAACAGGAGAATATATATCTTTTTCGTGTTAAGAAAAGCGTTCGAAATTGGATTATAATAAAATTTTATATTGTCTTCATTTATAATAGGTCCAAAATCATCGAATGATCTATATACCAATGTTGATCAATCTATAATATCACATCTACGTCGTTTATTTGATCAACGTCCCGTATGGACACGAAATAGTTTATTATATCATCTTAAAATAACTGAAGTTATTTTAAAACGTATTATTCATCATGTTGCCTATTTTTTTTGTAATGGTCCATGGAATCGTTGTTGGGTTAAATATGGTTATGATCCACGTTCAGATACAAAATCAAAAATTTATCAAATTGTTGATTATCGTGTACGTGCAATACTTGATCCGGAAAAGAATCTTGTCAAATCGAGAACATCAAGAGCTTATCATCGTTCATCGTTTGTTATCTAATATTCAGTTTTAATTTTAAAGATTTATTTTCTTCCAGATTAATTCCTGGACAAATGTCTTCAACAGCAACAACAATATCAGCATCAAATACAAAAAATTATGCCGTAAATTCTTTTTTCTTTTGACATTTATTATTGTTAATTAAAATATATATACGTCATATAGGAAGAAATGTATATGTTTAAACGAACAAGTTTGCCTGTAGCACGTTCGATTCATTATCAGTTGATTGACATACAACTTGAGGAAGTGCAGCAAATGGTTCATTCAAATGATGGCCAGGTGAGAAAGAAAAAAAATTTACTTCCTTTTCTAGTCATATTTAAATAGGAATGAATAAGAATTTGCTTTCTGACAGGCGCGCCTTTCTTTACTTACTATTGATAAACACACCTGCCAACTTTTGATAAGAGGATTGAAAGAGAAGAGTACCTACATGTCAAACTAATATTGTATAAAGATAAAAATAAGAAATCAACAATGTGCTTAAAAACTAAGTAAAATTTTTCTATAAAAAGAACTAAATATTATAATTTCTGTAGAATTCTCAGTATAAGTTAGATCAAATATAATATAGACATGATTTTTCTTGAATACATTCTATTTTATATACGATTGTACCTTACAAATATTCAAAGATTTCTATTTTAAAAAATGAAATGAATCATTTCCACCTATAAATAAGATTCTGATTTCATCTGTCATAAGAAGATTATCTTACGGAATTATGCTTTAAAAATACTATTAAAATCTTAATAAGTTTAATTTCCGTTCTTGTCTCTTCTTTGAATAAAACAAAAAGTCTGCATTAGTCGTCTATTGTTTTTTTTTTCTAGGAACATGAATGCACGGAAAATGATGGTTGGTGTGTTGTTGATTATCAAAATCGTGCGCGAGAAATGATGTCAGCTGCTCATGAACAACTCTATCGACAATATCAACGTGAACGAGGTATTTTTTTTAAATAACAGTTTAATAGTTTATGTTTTCTCTGAAACTTTTTATAAAATTACGGTTCATTAATAAGAATACCTCTATGTATTTTCTTTCTTTTTTTTTCTCTTTTAAAACTTTTTTATTTTCAGAACACAATGTAACAGGCGACGATGATGATGCAAGCCAGCAGTTAGAAGAAGACGAAGAGCATGATGAAGAGGAAGAAGAAGAAGGAGACGAAGACGATGATGATCATGATGAAGAAAGTAACGAAGAAGAAGACGATGAAGACGATGAACATGAAGACTCGCGTGATGAAACTTAAAACTTTTACGTTTAGTTATGTATATATTCAGTTAAAAAGAATGCTAAGAGTCAAATGAATATCGCCATAAAGCTCATCTATATAACGATGAAAAGAATATTAAAAAAAAAAAGTATTAACTTTCTTTTGTGTAAATGTATTCCGACATATTATACAGAATATAGAATAGAAATATAAAGAATGTGAGTATCCTACTGTTTCTTATTTCTTTATAAAATTTTTATTTCGTCGATTTGCAAGTAAGTATTTACTTTTTAAATTTAAATTATTAAATATTTATAAGAATGTGATCAAGTGTGTCACTATAAATCTTCTTTTTCTTTGTAGATGGGTCTAAATTCAACTAAATCTGCATTAACAAATGCCGAATATTCTCTAACACTTTCATCACCAAATGATTTTTATCGTAATTTATCAACAATTCAAGGTGAATTTCATTTAAATGTTCGGTCAAAATTACGTATTGAAAAAGAAATTCGTATTGATTTAATTGGACAATTACTTGAAAATAAAAAATATGCATCACGTTCGAATAGAAATTCTTCTCAATTCAATAATACACCTAATAATAATAATAATATTTTTTTAACATATTCATGTTCACTTATAACATCACATGAAAATGGTACAGCACGAACAATAAAACATCAACAAGTTAATTATCCATTTCGTATACCACTTGGATCGAATTTACCACCATCATGCGAATTTAAAGAATTTTGTGTTGTTTATTATTTAGAAATCTATCATGATGGACGTTTATTACCAAATACACATAAAAGAATTACAATAGCACCACAAACACCACAAATTATTGTGCCATTACCGTGTAAAGTAACAGGTAAGACGAATCAAAGTTGACAATAAAATGTTTCGGAAGAGTAGACGGAAGGAATTATGCTTGATATATAATGTAACGAGATACCTCGATCTTTCTCTTTTCATAATTCTATTATGGATTTAAAATACGAAAATTTCTATTTTAGGTTCTGGTGATGTCACAATGATCTGTAGTTTACCAAAATCATTTTATTCCGGACGAGATTGTCCAGTAGTACCAATGTCAATGTCAATCACAAATCCAAAACAAAAACAAATCAAAGCAGTCACAGCACAATTAATGCAAACTGTTTCATTAAATGGAATAAAACGTGAAAATGAAATTTTTACAGCTCTTCTTAATGAAATAGCAGAAAATACGAAAGAAAATGAAGTTAATACAAAGTGTGAATTAGTTTTGCCAGCTAATCTATCCCCAACATATGTTCCAAATGAAACTGGTCAACCGGATAATGTACCATCGATTGCTATAACTTATGAATTTCGTATAACAGCCCAAATGAAAGGTGCAACAACTCCTAATATTCGTCTATCTGTACCTATTGGTATTGAGTGAATTGACATATACATTTTTTTCTTCTTCTTCTGTGTGATATTATAATCTCTTTCTTTTTACTGATTATTCATAAAAGTTCTTTCTTTTCTTTTTTTTCAATCAGAGCACCAAAAATTTCATTTTAAACAATATTAAAATACGTGATAGAAGAAAAAAAAAGTTGATGGTGATAGTGTACGTTTTTTTTTGTACAATAAATTCTATCGTTCTAATCGAGATATACACATGTTGCTTTGCATCATATAAATGAAAAACGAACAAACAAAACAGAAGAGAAAAACGAAAGAAAGAAGAAGAAAAAAAATGAAATTAGTTTAATTATGTTCAATACCATTTGTTATTGGATGAATATCTTTAACTTTTGCCAAAAATGAATTAAGATAAGTAAATATACATTTATAATCAGGTGTATTACCCATAATAAGCATATCCGAAACATCAAGTAATCGTGGTATACCTGCTCGTTCTTCCGCAGTACGAAAAGCAAGTTCAAAATTTTCTTTACGATTGGTTGATGATAAACTATTGAAATCAAATGCATCAGGAAAAAAATGGTGAGTTAAAGCACAAAATGCAAGGCCATCCGACCATGATGATGAAAGATTTGTTACTGATACATTCTAATTTATTTTAAAATAAAATAAAAAAAAAATATTTTTTTTTAGTAAAAAATAATCACTCACGGGATAATCAGCAACTTGTACTTGACACCAACGAAGAAGACCTTCTTTTACATTAGATGTTGAACGAATAAGTGGAGTTCTAGAGAAAAAAAAACAAAAATTTTCTAATTTTTTTTTGTCTTACTAATAATTACTTTCGTTTATAAGCTGATGGAATATTATTATTTGTTGTTGAAGATGTTGATGGTGATCCTGAACTATTGTTATTAATTGTCATTGCGCGTTGAAGTGATGGACGATTGGGTGATGTTATTGTAGTTTTAGTAGTTGATGGTGTTGAATTTATTATTGATTCTGTTGATCCTGGTCGACGAGAATTAACTGTTGGCGGACAAGTTGGTGTTGTACGTTTAACAGATATGATCGATGGAGCAGCTGGACGAGTAGATGATACTGCAGCATTAAGTTGATTAACCATCGATCGTACACGATTTTTGCCAATCGAACATGAAGAATCTAGTTGAGTGAAATCAGAATACATATTTATCATTCTAAATGAAAATGTGTATGTGCGCGCGCACATATGTATTTCGTTTTTTTTTT